ATATTAATAGTTACGATATTGCTTAGAGTAACGCGGTATTATACTAAATAAGAGCTTTTAACGTATAACGACTAGTATTATTCTTAAAGGATAAACCTATTAAGGGGTTTATATTAGTAGATATAATAAAGCGTAGTCTAAGTAATAATAAGTATATTACGTTAATAATAAGTTAGAGGTTATAGACCGTAGACTATAACTAGGTAATTAAAATTAAAGATAGAATCGTAATAAAGATCTATATTAAAAGCTATCGAGCTATTTATTTAAAGGAGTATTCTATTCCTTCCTTATATATTTTAAGAGCTTCCCTAGATCGCTAAGAGCACTAGGTAATCCCGTAGCCTAGGAGCGCTAAAGCGCTAGAGCGATCCTATAATCCTAGCCGTAGAGCGTTAGAGCGCTAAAGTAACCCGTCGCTCTAAACTTAATTAGCCTATTAGTCCGTTTAATATTCCTTGCTCCCTATATTACGTATCCTTATAATATATACTAGTCCCCGCGGTTCGCTAAACTATAGTCGTAATAGGAATCTTCTAAGATATAACGTCTAAGCCTACGAGGCTAGTCTAGAAGAATTAGACTATTAGGCTTATCGAGGAAAGATTTAGTTAATTTATTCTTAAATTCCGACCTATCCTTAAGAAGGAACTACTTAAGAAGTTAGCTTTCCCTACTTAAAGGAGGGTAGGTTTATAGGACCCTCTTCTAGTAGGCTAAGGAGACGGTCTTCTTTAGTACGCACGACTTAGTTACCTAGGCCCCCTAGCTTTATATAAGCTAGGTTAATAATAAGGCGTACGAATAAGGGGCCTAAAGACCGTCGAATATAAATACTATAGCTAAGGAAAGACTAAGAGACGAATTTCTAAACGAACGCCTTTATAGCTAGACTAGCTATATAAGGAAATTTAGGTCGACTAGACCGATGTCTCTAAGAACTAAGAAAGCTTCGTTAGGGTAATGCTTTTTATAGATGCTTTTTTAAGGATAGTTTTCCCTTATTTCTTAAGGACCTACCTAAGTAAGTATAACTAGTTTGCCCTCTAAGACTTTATTAACTAGATAAAATCCTACTTTAGCTATAAGGTAAAGAAGATATAGTTTAATAGAGAGCTATTTATAAAGGATATCTTAAATTAGCTTCGAAAAAAGGGTATTTTACCCCTACCGTTAGCACTAAATACCTAGGCCTAGAACGGAGGGGTAGAAAGATTAAGGGGTGCTATAATAGAAAGGGCCTATACGATAAGACTTACTATAAGGCTTCTATATAACCTTTAAAGGGAAGTTATTAAGACCGCTTATTACCTTTAAAACCGGACCCTAAGGGACCCTAGGGGCCTAAGGGACTATAGGGACCTAGAGACCCTTATTAAGACCTAAGGAATAGACTAGAAATTACCCCTCGAGCTCTTTATAAAGAAGAGGGCCTCGCTAGCCTACCTTTATACTTATAGCTATAAGGTATACGCTATAACTACTAATATATAGCTAAAAAGGAAGAAGAAAAGAAAGTTTAATCCTAGAGCCTTTATTAGTTACCTCGTTAGTTATAATTCTATAAATATCTTCTAGATCTAGATTCCTCTTCTAAGGAAGGTTATTTTAACTAGGGATATAATTTTCGATGAATCTAGCTTCTTTAACGAAAAGAAGGAATAATAGCCCCTCTTACTCTTATAATATTAGCTAATTTAAAAGATCTAAATTCCCCCTTCTTAATAGTTATAAGAAGAGGCCCTAGATAAGGAAACGGAAGAAGAAACCGACGTTAAAGTAGTTAAGGATAACGCTAACTTTAAAGAAGAAGAGGAAGCTATTAGATTAGATAATCTAAACGAAGAAGGAGACTATAGGAAAGCGGTAGAGCTAGAATACGCCTACCTTCCTACGCCTCCTCTTATAGAATAAAAAGAAGATCTAAAAGTAGCTTTCTCTATTAGTCTTCTTATATCGACCCTTAAGGGGGTAGGAAAGGCACCTCTCTTAAAGGATTACCCGGCTGCCTTTTTATCCCTACTTTAAGAAGTAAAGGAAGGTATAGGGCCTAATACGGTTACTAAAGAAGACTAACCTCTCCCTTATTTTAATCGTTTTTCCGACTTTTATCTAACGCCTATAAAAGACGGTTCCTATAGAGTATTTATAGTAAGCCGGCTCTTTAAGCTATAGCTATTAGTAAGGAAGGTATATAAAAGAGACCTCCCGGACCTACTAGTAAACTAAAAGTAGCTAGAAAGACACCCTTTTAGAGACTAGTTTTTCTAGGCCTAGAAAGACTACCTAGCTTTATATAAAGAGATAGGGTCTTTCGAAGAGGTCCTTAAGGAAAAGGTAAGAGGAAAATAGGTCCTTAGCTATAAGTAGGTCTTTATCTATAAGACTAATAAATATAGCTTCCTTTAAAAGTATAAAGCCTAGCTAGTTATCTATAAGAATTAATAGGAAAAAGTAGATTTACCTACTAAGGCAACTACCTTAGTAGGGATATCTTTTTAGACCCTTATAGCTATAGTAGTAGAATTCGACCTCGAGCTTAATTAGATAGATATAGTTAACGCCTTTATTAACTGCCTACTTAAGGAAGAAGAAGTTATCTATATACGCCTTCTACTAAGCTTTTAAAAGCTAGGAAAGGTTCTATAGCTTAGGAAAGCTCTATATAGACTACGAAGATTACCCCTTCTTTAGTAATAGTATTTAATAGGTTCCCTTAAAGCCCTAGGCTTTAAGAAAGTCCTTTAAGAACCGTGTATAATATAGAAGGGTAAAGTTATAGTCTTCTTTTACGTTAATAATATTATCTAGGCCTACTTAAAAGAGGAAGAAGCTACTACTAAGGAGGCTATATAAGGCCTATAATAAAGGTATAAGATAACTAAGCTAAGGGAGCTAAAGTAGTTCTTAGGGATACGAATCCTTTAAAATAGGTCCTAACGGACTATCTAGCTTACCTAGGACGCTTATATTAATAAGGTCGCTTATAAATTCCTCCCTAATTCCCTTAATAAGAAGCTTCCCTCTACGCTTATATTAAATAAAGAGCTTTTACTTAATCCGTCCTTTTAAGCTAAGGAGTAAGAGAAATACTAATATTAATAAAAGGTAAGCTCCTTGCTTTTTTTAGCTATTTCTATTAAACCGGATATCTCTTTTATAGTCTCCTAGCTAGCTAAGTATAACTAGAATCCTAGCCCTAAGCACTAAGAAGTAGTAGACTAAGTAATCCTTTATTTCTATTTAATAAGATTATATAGTCTACGCCTAAGAGGGTAGGGAAGGAAATTAGCTGCTAAAATCTTTCTTTATTCGAGCGATTTATCCTTTATAGATAATTCCTTAGATAGAAAGAGCTTATAAGGGTATATTATATCCCTTTTTAGAGGAACTATTACTTAGAGAGCTTCGAAGTAAGCTACCGTTATAACTTCTAGTATAGAGGCAGAGCTACTAGCTCTTTTAAAAGCGTTAAAAGAAGCGATTTTCCTTAGCCGGCTATTAATATCTCTATAACTATAAATTCCGACCCTATTAACTATAGAATTTAATAATATATAGACTATACGAATTCTTACGGAAAATAGTAAGCTATTAACCTAGCTATAGTATATCGATATCTACTAGTATTAGTTACGCTAAAAGGTCTAAAGGGGACTTATTTCCGTCTATTAAGTTCTAATAGTATTAATAAAAGCTAATAGTCTTACGAAGCCCTTACTAAAGTAAAAGCTAGCTATCTTTTTATAGTAAATTAGGCTAGAAGACGTTTAAGAGAAGCTATCCTTAGAAGCCTACCTTAAGAGTCTATAAGAGGAGCTAATAGTATATAAGAGGAAGGAGACGTCTATAGCTAAAGAGAGGAATTAGGACTTATCCTAAAAGAGGGCCTCTAGCTTAATTAGGACTTATTCTTCTTAAAGGCCCCTTTTTTAAGGACTTATCCTTAGAGAAGCCCCCCTTTCTTATAGGACTTAATTTCCTCCTTAGGCCCCTTTTCCTAAAGTAGGTCTAAAAGAGCCTAGGGCTAAAACCCGGATTTCTTAAGTAAGGGATAAGTATAGACTAAGACCTCCTCTATACGCTTACCGGCCTAGGTATTTAGCTTTACCCTTTCTATAAGGGCAGGCTATAGCTAAGGGGGTATATCGCGAAGCGTAGCCTAATTTCGTAGTTCTTAGAGATATCCCTTAGTACGAGGGACCTAGGAAGCTAAAAAATAAGTTCTAAGGAAGGAGCTAAAAAGAGGTGTAAAGAGGAGGGTAGGGGTAAGAGGGGAAGTAGAAGTAGCGATAGCTTCCTATAGAGGTAGCGAGAGATAAGACGGATATGCCGGCAACGGCTAGAAAGGAGGGGAAAAACTAGCAAAAAGCTCGGTAGTTAAAAGGATATTAGTAGCTTCTTTAAGCAGGATCTTCTTTATTAATTAAGATGCTAGACGGGTATAAAGAGAGGCGTTGGATAGAGAAAAGAAGGACAATTAAGGCAATATAACAATCACTCCCCTACCTTTATTGCTGCTCCCGCAAGAATCAAATCTCTCTGCCTTGCCTGTCCGACCCCTTACTTCTAATTTCACCTTCGTGCATTTTTCATGCACTTCTCGCATCTCTCTACGCGAGAAGTTGAGCCCTCGCGACATGTTGAATGTTCGCCCACCGCCCTGAGGCCATCGTGACCCGCTGACTAATAATTAGTTTAGACTTGCAGCGGAGCTGGTCGAGCGGCCGAACCAGCGTGCTGGGGCCGCCTGTCGCTACCCGCCGCTAGGGGCTCGCGTCCGCTATAGCTGCCGGCACTATAGCGATGAAATTTGCTCTGGAAATTCGCCGGCTTCGGCTTCGGTCGCATCGTCAATCCTCAACTCGACAAGACATCGACCCAGTCTGAGCATAGTCACAGCCCCCGACATCGACTCAACGCAAAAACAACGAGGCCGGCGATTGAGGTTGCACTCGGCGGACCGTCACAGATCCACTCGTCCAGGGAGCGGACTGGTGATGGAGTCGTTCGTCATCAAGACGCCGTGTTCGAGCGCCAACATCGGCCCCGGCTTCGACGTTATCGGCCTCGCCCTCAGCGTCTACCTCGAGCTGCACGTCACCATCGACCGCTCCAAGGGCGGCGCGTCTGGCCACCCGCTCAACTGCCGCCTGACGTACGAGGGCCAGGGTCGGGGGTCCGACGACATCAGCCTCGACCCGCAGAGCAACCTCATCACCAGAGTCGCCCTCTACGTCCTGCGCTGCCACGACCAACGCGCCTTTCCGCCCGAGACCCATGTCCACATCAAGAATCCAATCCCTCTTGGCCGCGGCCTCGGCAGCTCGGGTGCCGCCGTCGTGGCTGGCGTCCTGCTGGGGAAGGAGGCTGGCGGCCTGCACCATCTCGACCTCGACCGACTCTTTGACTACTGCCTCATGATTGGTACTCAGCCCGCTTTCCCACCCTCTTCCGAGTCAATAGGCTGACCGACGCGCAGAGCGCCACCCTGACAACGTGGGCGCCGCCCTCTTCGGCGGCTTCGTCGGAACGTACCTCATGCCCCTGCGGCCCGAAGACCTCGCCCGCACCGAGATCCCCCTGAGCGAGGTGCTTCCCTCACCGGCGGGCGGAGTCGACACGGGCGAGAAGCCCCCGACTCCGCCCCGCGGCATTGGTCACCACATCCGGTTCCGCTGGGCCGAGGAGATCAAAGCCGTGGCCATTATTCCCGACTTTGTCGTCCCCACACACGAAGCCCGAGCAGTGCTGCCGGACAAGTATGCTCGGCAGGACGTGGTATGCGGCTCTATGATGCCTCGGAGGACCATTGCTGACGGAAAGTGACGGGCAGACATTCAACCTGCAGCGTATAGCCCTGCTCCCCGTGGCCCTGGGTCAGTCCCCTCCCAACCCCGAGCTCATCCACCTCGCCATGCAGGACAAGATCCACCAGCCGTACCGCCAAGTGCTCATTCCCGGGCTCACCGAGGTGGTCGAGTCCATATCGCCCAAGAGCCAGCCCGGCTTCCTCGGCGTCTGCCTCTCGGGGGCTGGCCCCACCATCCTGGCGCTGGCCACGAGCCACTTTGAGGAAATTGCGAGCCGAATCATCGACACCTTGCGGCAGCACAACGAAAACAATGAGCTGGCCTGCGAGTGGAAGGTCCTGGAGCCGGCCGAGGGCTCTCACGTTGTGCGATAGACGGGACATGGCCCTGTCCGCGATCCCTATGGCAGCGTCGTGCGGCAAATGGTGCTCCCCTGGCAACAGGCAGCATGGAGAGGAGAGCAAAGATCGGGACACCTCTCCTCGTATTCAGCAAGGGTCCAACATCAAGCTGGGCCCTTGTGCTCATCGCCGGAGCGAGAGCTGAATCGAATGCAAGATGCTGCCGCTGTCTCATCCCCGTCATCGTGCCCTCATGTATCCGTTAGATGCAGCAGTCTGCCACTGGCGCCACTGGGCCAGAGACGATCCAATGCCCTTGCTCTACTTTGTTCTTGTCTGGCATCTCTATTGATTGTGGCTCTACGCTAATGTTGATTCCTACATGTTGATGTAACAACGTGGGCCAATGTCACGGACCCGCGGAAGCAATCAGTTACACGGCACATGTCACGCGACTTGCAAGGTGGATGGGGGCGAGACTCTCCGGCCCTACCGTTCATGTCGTAAAAGCCATCGGGTATGTATTAGGTTGAACGGCATGGCGTGAAACCATGAAAGGTCGCCTTGCCTGGGGCGCTTCTCTGCATATGCTGAGTGCGCTTTTCTTCCCTTCTTGTCTTTTTCTTCACAACGCACAGCTCTGGTGAGAGAGAGGGATGACAGGACAATTGGCGTCTTAAACCCAAGAACCTGTCCAACTACCGCTCATTTCAATTTCCATCCACAACAGCCACTGCGAACCTCGGAGCGCCGTGGCCGGGCTTGTCTATGCTGTCCTCCAACCCACCAGGAACGCCATTGCTGGCGTGACCATTCGCATGGCCGTTAATGTGGTCATTGTGACCGCTGACGGGCACCTTGGCGCCTTTCTGCTGTGACCGGTCCACGGCCTCAGCCTCGAGGGGCTTGCCGTGGACGGTGTAGCCCGTGTCGCTCGCGTCGACAACGGCGTCGAGGCCCTCTCCGCTGCGGGGAAACTGGCGCATCAGAGCCTTGTGCGCTTCGAGGGCAGCGCACATGTCGTGGGTGACGTCGTTGAGGAAGACGCACTCGCCCATGGGGCTGACGGGCACGGCAGTGCGCAGTCTGCCGTCGCGCGTCTTGAGGATGGAGGCCGTGGCCCTTCTGCAGCAGCGGGCCGTCGAACTGGGCGTGGTCCATGGAGAGGCCGGCGCGGGAAATGAGGCGCAGCAGGCGCATGTGGTCATCGGCGGAGAGGAGGCCGTGGACGTGGGCGAGAGTGGCCGAGTAGGCCATGTCGATGGAGATAGCGTGCCCGTGGCGCAGGGGAGGATCTGGGACGAGCTCGTGCAGGGGAAACCAGCTGTTTTGCTGGTGAGCTGGACGACCCTCGGCAACGCGGCGGTCGTTATGATGGAGACACAAGCACATTTTCGAACCGCGACGACACCGCCGACGACGTGAAAGGGGAGGGGAAATACTTACGTGTGGCCATATGCAATGACGCGATCGAGCATAATCTCGTGCAGATTTGGCGTCTCAAGCTTCAGCATCTCACAGATGCCGGCGCGGCAGATGCGATCAGCCGCCTCTCTCAACTCCACCGAGGCATCGTCGGCGCGGCCGACGCCAGTGTCGATGAGGGCCTCGCAATGCTGGTCAAGCAGATCGAGCGTCTTCTTGTCGGCGCATGATGAGATCTTGATGACTCGGCAAAGCCGTTGCGGATCTGGCCCGTCGGCAGGGTTCGCTAAAAGGTGAAGTCGAGAAAGGTGTGGACGGGCGCGTGGTAGGCGCCTAGGCGATTCTTGTAGCGGGAATAGTTGACTGCCACCTTGATGGAGACGGACGCATCGATGAGGCCGATGACGGTGGTTGGGATGCGGATGTAGTTTGTGTTGCAGCGGTAGGCGGCGCAGGCGAAGCTATATCAGGGGCAGGATCAGGGGACTGTCAGCCTCAGGTTGTCAAATCCACCGCTACTTCACAGCAATCTTCTCATTCTCGCTTTCATCGGCATCGTCGTCATCCTGATCGTCAGGGGGAGAGTGAAAGGGAGCTCTTGGACATATCTCACCCAGCAACATCAGTCACGAGCCCGCCACCGACCACGAGGACGGGCTCTTTGCGGTAGACGCCAAAGTCGTTCATGGTGTCGAAGATTTTGAGCAGTGTGTCGATGCTCTTTGCCTTTTCCCCAATCAAGGTCTTGTGGACGCGCAGCTCGATGCCGTGGTGGTCAAAGTATCGCTGCACCTGGTCGCCGTAGAGGGTGAACATGTTGAGGTCCATGACGGCCAGGCAGCGGTCCCATTGCTGGTAGCAGGCGGCAAGCTGCGGGCTGGCCATGTCGAAGACGCCGTCGAGGAACTCAAAGTCGTACTCGATTTTCTCGTAGCCGCACACGCTGAAGCCCTTGTTGGTGGGCTCGACGGTGGCTTTCATGTCCGACATAGTGGGCTGGCTGGACGCGTGTCTATATATCTATGTGTGTATATATAGTCTATGCATGAAGAAGAGGAAATCAAAGACGACAACGGCACAAATATTGAATATGAGGAGAGGAAGAGGAACGAGCCCCAGTCGGGAACAAGGGGGGAGGGTCAATTGCAGACAAGGGCCGTGGAGTTCTGCTTTTGCGACAACCAGGGATGCTCCTGTAGCTGCGGTGAGGAGGACGTGTGTGTCGGTGCGTCTGAAGCGGTGCCGAGGTCAGGGATGGTTGGAAAGGGGGCGAAGAGGGTTTATCAATCGCGTGGTCACGAGGCCACGTGAAACGAACGCGGCTCTATCCGGTCAGCCATGTTGCCGAGGGAAGCATAAGACGATCCTTGCTCGCTCTGACTGGACAGAGCTGAGGCTGGGTGTTCATCGAGCGGCAAGGCGCAGCCGGCTGGGGGCGAGGGTAGAGGATACACCGATGAGCAGGCTGATCCAGACCTCGTGGCCAGGTCCTGGAAACAAGGGTATCAATTCGAGTTGCACCACAAGCCACAGACAGGCAGCAAGAAGCCATTGTACTCCTCCTGATTTACTATATGACATCGCAGTCCTCCGACAGCTGATTATTAGCTCTTTCTCACATTGTAGGCGCAGACAGCGCGAGCAGCTGCGGAGTGCAATTCTGACATAAGGCATAGAATGGCGCACGCATAGACAAGTCATCACCATTATAAGTTTTAAATAGCTACCTGCAATAAAACGACGGCAGAGCTGGGGGCTATAGAGCTGGATTATGGTACGTAAGGCATCAACGGTAACAATGGCCTCGTCCAGTTTTTTACTTCTATTCCCGCAGGCGCTTTCTGTACGGTCAGGATGGCCGTGCGGGAGCCAAATATATGGTTTAAATGCTATATATCGCCGAATCTTTTTAAGACGTGACCATTCTCTGTCGTGGGAATATCTTCAGAAGCTTACGATAAGACTATCGGTAAAAGATTGAACGACTAATATTTGCAAGGCATCACGTCGACAGAGCTTGCCACCAATACATTATGCCCACTTTTGATCTCTCCTTCGCGAGACCGAGTGATTCAGTGAGAATTGTTGGCCCAATCGCATTTAACGGAGCTAATAACGTCATTGAAGCCGTCCGGAACATTGCCATCGCTGCCAGAGGTAAATGATTTCCCGTTACATCCATAGTCCCTAAGCTTATTAGTTACCATTTTATCTTACCCTAAGATATCGGGTATAATTGGCCGATTTAAGTCGGAAATCTTTATGTAGTACTTACAGAAAGAAGATGCAGGAGATAGAAGGATCGCTTATTTGAAACGAAGAAGTAACATCGTTGAAATCCGTCGGCACGTCGACTATATTAGCATGACCATTAGCGAGGACCTTTTCCCCTATGCATTGCATAGACTCCTAGATTATTCACGTTACCGACCAACAGGGGATCGACATACCACACTTATAGAGCTCGGGTAGGAAAGTCCTGCCACCCTGGTTATAGTCTTCGTAGAGTGTTACTTCATAAAACGGAGTAAGCGGTACATCTACAGTGGTTGCCAAGACCATAGCCAAGAGGGATGCCATAAGGGCTAGGAGGTGAGAGGTCTGCATGTTGCGGAGATATAGCGTGGTATTAGAAGTCAGCGCGAGATTGTTGAGTGTCGATATAAACGGAAGTCGTTAGTAGAAAGATTATGTTTTAACAACGAGCTTCTAAGTAGGCTATGGCCCTCTTTGTATAGTCTATATTTGCAACCTAGCTATAACTGTAGAGAAAGCTAAAACATGTTATGCATATCCTCCTACCATATCTTAGGTCTAGCTGCAACTTGGTGGATTAAGAGGCGCGAAGGCCGTCGCGCCATGCAGGCAAAAGTGGAATGCACACTCCCATAAAATTGGTACACACATCCAATGACTGCGGCCTTTCCGACATCTAGACCATAATGCCTATAAATGCTGGGAAGGCGGGTGTCAGACAGATATGTGTCACTTGTAGTGCACTTGTTAGAGTGTGCATTCCACTTTTGCCTGCGTGGCCAATGGTCTTCGCGACAATAAAATGTAAACTTGTTAAGAAAAGTCTAAGGATTTTAGTTATATGTATTTATTAGAGGTATAAGTAAAGCCTAGACCGAGACACCGGAATAAGTTTAGGAATTAGGATAGTTAGACTCAGATAGTTAGGTAAATTAGTCTATATTCTATAAATTCTTCGCGTTTAGTTAACGATACTTAACTAGCTAAGTACTTTCGATCTCTATGTGCTTCTTAAGCGTTATTATTACTAATAGCTTTAATAAGGCTTTTAAACGCTTTAAGATTAAAGCTACTTAGAGTATATTTTATAGAAGGTAAATATTTATAGAACACGGATTTATCTTTAGTAAAGTATTAAGGAATAAAATTTCCTATAGATTTAAGAAAATAATGCCTTAAGTGCTTTAAGGAATACCTTATAGAATCTAAATAATAACACGCTAAACCAGCTATAGGCGAACGCCCGCTCTATAATATATTGCTATTAGTAACGTAACTAATTAAGGGGATTAATTAGCGATTTAATAAAATCTAAATCCTAGGTTATAGTTATATTTTAAGGAACGAGAGGACTTTTTAGAGCGCGCGGGGAAAGAGAATATCTTAAGAAAAGAAAGGCCTTTAAAGCGCGGGGAATTCCTTTTTATATATCGCACGGAGGATAAGTAAGTAAGTATAAAGATTAAGGACTAAAAGGCTCTTAATTTTCCTATTTTAAAGGGGGCATCTATACCCTATATAATAGATAGCCTACGTAGTAGAGTCCTTAGTAGGGTCCTTAGTAGGATCCTTAGTAAAGTCTCTAGCTAACCTTTATCTTAGTTAGATAATTCCTTAGCCCCTTATTTATTTAGTAAAGAAAGCGGGAAAATTCGTTTTATAAAAGAGGTCTCTTTTCCCTCTTAGCTAGTAGATATTATCCTCTTTATTCTTCCTCTTTACTAATATACCTTTTAGCCCTTATTACCTTTACCTTACCTTACCTAGTACCTTTCCCCCTTTTATCTCCCTTAAACCCCTTTATCCCTTAGGATTTCTTTTTATATATTATTTCTTATATATAGCCTTTAAGGCTATAGCGATACTAGTAAGGGCCTAGGGCCTTATTAGTAGTCCTAGCTAGCTATAGAGCCTAGGGGCTTAGAACTAATTAAGGAAAGGGTAGTTATAAAGGTAAAGATAAAAGAAAGGTTAGTTTAGTTCCTCCTATATAGTGTTTTCCCCCTTAAGGGCCCTAGGGCCCCTAGGTTACTCCTTTTTAAGCTACTTAGCTATCCCTATCTTTATTTTAGCTAAGAAGGTTAAAAGGGCTTCCCTTCTTTCCTTAAAGCTATAAAGAAAAAGTAAGCTAAGGGCCCCCTTTTATCTCTTAGAGGTTAGGTAACGGACCTTTCTTTCCCTCTTATAGTTTAGGTATATTAAGATAAGGTGCCTAGCGGTATACCTTCCTTAGCTATAGTAGTAGTTATCTTAGTTTATATTATTAGTCCTTTTTAAAAAGGAAAATAAGAAGCTAGCTTTAAAGAGGAGCTAGTAGAAAGCTAATAAAGTTAGCCTAGCCCTCCTTATAAGGTCCTTTTCTAGGCTAAGGGCTAGGCAGGGGGTCTTTTAAATAAATATATAGTACTTACCTAAGCCCTTAGCCTTAGGGCTATTAGCTGCCTTAGTAGCCTAGAGGCCCTTTTAATAGTCTTTAATAGCTAGCTAGACCTTTCTTTTTAAAAAGTTAATAAAGACTAAAGAGGTCCCTTAAGTAAGGGCCTTTAAGCCTTTCTTAGCTAACTAGTTAGCTACCTTATTACTAAAGATCCCTAGGTAGCTAGGGTACTAGTATAGCTATATATTATAAAAAGCTTTTAAGCTAGTTAAGAGCCTTTTAATATATATAGCTAGGTCTAAGAAGCCTATAACCTTCTTTATAATAGCTTAACTATCTATAAAGATATAGGCCTTTATAAGGGCGTTAAAGGGGCTAGGCCTTAAAGGTTAAGGCCTCTTAGCTAGGTCTTTTAGAACCCTAAGTACTATAAATAGCTTTATATTAGTATTATAAAGTAAGTAAAGGGTTATACTATAAGTGCCTTTTATTATATTATAATAATAAGCTATATAAGATCTAGCTATACGCCGCGCTTATTACTACTAAATATATATTTATATATATAGCCTACCTTACCTTATAACGCTATTAGCTAAGGTTTAAGCTAATACTTAGACCTATACTATAAGGAATAGTGTTTTCCTACTATAAATAAAGTAGCTATAACCCCCCGATTATATAAGCTAATAAGTAGTATATTAATTATAGATAAAATCCTATTATATAAAGTAAGAATCGCTTATTATTCTATATATTATTACTTATTAAATAGGTTGCTAGTTATTATATAATTAGGAATTAAAGGAATAGAGCTAGCTTAAAATACTAGCTAAGACCTCTAAAAGATACTAATACGACTAACCTCTTTTAAATATAAATATTAGTAGAACTAAGATACTTCTAGCTATACGTAAGGTATTACTAAATTCCTTAGTCTTAGGGCTATATAATAGCTTAAATCTAGTCTTAAAAGGTTCTTTTATTTAGCTATAATTATTTATATAAAGTAGTATATTTACTAATAGATAAAGATAGAATTATTAACTTTAATACTTCTTTTTATCGCGAAGCGTAGCCTGATTTCGTAGTTCTCGAAGATATCCCTTAGTAAGAGGGACTAAGGAAGCTAAAAACACCCGGTATAGAAGAAGGAGCTAAAAAGAAGGTATAGAAAGGAGAGTAGGGGCATAAAGGGAAGCATAAGTAGCGAGAGATAAGATAGATATGCCGGAAACGGCTGTAAAGGAAGGAAAAAACCGGTAAAAAGCTCGGTAGTTAAAAGGATATTAGTAGCTTCTTTAAGTAGGATCTTCTTTATTAATTAAGATACTAGACGGGTATAAATAAGGGCGTT